TAGCTCTTTATGCTTGGTCTCCCTTCCCCCACTCCCCATAAGTGTGCACATGCATGCTCGCTTGGACATGTGCATGCCTGCACCTGTTTTGTTTGTCAGTTCATGGAGTGAGAGAACATTTGCAGCTGTTTTCTAGCCTAGTGTATTTTTTAGTTGTCCATTCCTGTGAGGAGAAGCGCGTATGCTCAGTAGTGAAGATTATAAATCCTTACTATCTCATCTAAATTCAGAACTAGGTGTGAAATATGAATCTCGTAATTATATTTTGTGTATAAAACTTAGTGAAACTGTTATACAAAAACAAGGCATTTATGGCTATTGACTAACCTTAGACTTGCGCGAGGGGGAAAATACTTAAAATTATAATCCCGGAGAAATCAATAAAGTTACTTTTTTTTAACTTGAAATTTTTAATTTTTTTTTAATTTATTTTTTTTAATGTATGAGTGTTGTGCCTGTGTCTGTCTACATGACATTTGTGTGTGGCACCTGCAGAGATCAGAACTAGAGTTCTGGGAATGGAACCTGTTCCTTCAAGAGCAGCAGTGCTCTTAAGCACTGAACTGTCTCTCCATCTCCGCAAAGATTCTTTTTTGATTTATACGTAATCTGTAGATCAGTAGTATCAACAGCAGATTTTCAGTGTGGCCTGGTAGCACACACTCAATCTCAGTGCTTGGGAATCTCTGTTAATTCAAGGCCAGCCTGTTCTATTTGGGTAGCTTTAGGTCAGTCAGGCTTTGCAGACCCTGTCTCAAACACAAACAAGCAAATGTAGCTCAGTTGGTAGGAGCGCTCACCTAGCATTAATAGGCTATGGGTGCTAACCCTAATATCAGGTAACACCGGGGGTGGTGGATATGCCTGCAATCTCACTACTCCTGAAGGCCTTTGAGGCCAGCCTGGGCAACATGAGATCATGCCTGAAAACAAACAAAAAACGGATTGGAAGTGTTGTGCGAGAGAGATGACTAGAACACTGGCTGCTCTCTCAGAGGACCCAGGTTTGAGTCCCAGCACCTGTGTGGTGTCTCACAAATGTCTAACCAGTTCCAGGGGATCTGATTGATAGCTTCTTCTGGCCTCTGTGGGCATATGGTACACATACATACATGGAAGGAAAACACTCATCCACATAAAATTAAAAAAATATATGTATCTTTAAAAAACAGGTAGATTTGGTGGCTTCATGCTAACAATTATCAGGAGAATGAAATAGGATCAGAATAGTTAAATTATTTAATGCGTGTAAAGCTGATACTGTGGATTTAAATAGAATTCAGATTTTTGTTTGTTAGGACATCCTATTTAACCTTGGTTGGCTGGAACCTGAAGTCCTAGGTCTTCTGCCTCCTAAGTGTTCCTGTTCTCATAAACAAAAAAGCAGTCTGTATTTTGTTCTGTACTTGGGTTACATATAAGGAAACTTTTTTAGCTTTGGTTTTGGCCCATTATGTTCAAACAGTCAATTTGTTAGAAAAGGTAAGGTGTGCTGGTTTTGTCTGTGCACCTTACTAAATGTCCTGTGATCTCTCTGAGGGCCTTTTTAAAAACATTTAAAAGTCAGTAAGCTTTGACCTGTCACACGCATTCCAGTCTGGACTCAGGAAGTGGAGTTTTGTTTTGTCTGTGTATGTAGTGATAGGCATTGGGCCTTACATGGTAGTTGTTATTTTTAACCATATTTTTATGAAGGTGTTGTGCCTAGAATTTTGTAGAAGCAACGGTACTTTTCTGTATGGTCTTTTCTTTTTCTCTTTTGGTTTTAGGCAGGGACTCATTGTGGCACCTAGGCTGTTCTGACACTTGTGATCCTCCTGACACTGCCTTTGAGTACAGGGATTCTGGGCACATACCAGTGTCTGATGATAGGGCTCCTCTGCGTCCAGTGTTTGACACCTACTTGGCCTCTGAACAGGCTCACTTCTTGTTCTCCATGTGAATGGCTGCTTTTGCCTGTTCTTCTCTATCTTACTGCTAGTTCTGCTATTTTAAGTTAGAAAATAATGAATAAAGGTACTATAAGCCAGTAGGATTTATGATAGAAAGTTTTTGTTCTCCAAGTTACAAGAAGAAAAAGGAGACTCAAATGCCTGCTTAGTGCATGTGAGGCCCCGGCTTCAGCTCCTAGTGTGAGGTGGTAGAGGAGAGATTGTGTGAAATGTTCGAATGCTTTCCAGATCCCATTCCCCCCCCCTTTCCTATAATGTGGCAGTTATCTTGCTGCTTAGCTTTCCACTTAGCTGCGTTTTGTATCTGTTCTTAGACAGATATTCGTTTTACATGCTTTTGAAACTGTAAGTGGAAAGATTCTATAAGAAAGCGTGTACACATGTACTTTTTTTTAACCCAGGATTTCAGATTTCACCTGTGTCAGTGTCCATTCTGTGGTCTATCTCAGTTTATTAATCCATCTTATTCATGGACAGTTAGCCTTTAGTCTACCGTTATACTTGGCTGCCTTTGAAAGCATTTGTGACAGTTCCTCATGAGTATTTTTCCAAAGAGTCTGAGGTTACAGAAAATAGATTACTTTAGCTTATTGGGTATTGTCAAATTAATTTGTTTTACAAAGTGGTTATATGAATTTATAGGCTTATTGTTAGGTTATAGGGATTCAAGCTGCCCTTTATTTTCACTTAATTCCTTAGGACTGGCAAGATGGCTTGTTACCAAGCCCAACTACCTACTTGGGATTTACATCCTAGTCCTCTGACCTCTGTGTGCTGTGGCATGTCCATGCCCACAGTCATACACAAAACAAATAAAATGTAAAAAAAAAATTTTTTTTTAAAGATAAATTTGTGATAGGAAATAAAATCTTTGTAACAAGGAATGAAAGCACAAAAATACAGGCTCTCGGGCTGTTTGCTTTCGTGGCAAAACAGTAACAACAACAAAACCAGCAAAGTTGTATATAGGTTTTGGGGAAAATAAATAAAGCCAGGTGTTTTTTCCTCATGCCCTTTCAGCCATACCAAGAATAAAGTCCAAAGGGATGAAGTATTATGGAGGAAGGCCTGAGGTTCTTGTGATCAGCATGAATGGTATGGCCTGGGTCCCGAGACTCTCAGCAAATAATGGTAGTGAAGTTGTCAGTGCTGGATCAGGTCTTTCCGTGAGCATTCACTGGTGCCCTGTTCATTCCTAATCTGCAGTTTTAAGTATAAAGAATGAATAAAGAAGCTGGTGATGGGTCTGGTTGGAGATATAGAAGCCCCCTTACGGTCTTGCTCTAACAGTTTGAACAGGGTGCCTTGTCTAAACAGGCAACAGTGATGTTATTTTTATTCATGAATGCTTGAGGTATGGTACCTGCCTGACAGGGAAGTTGGAGGATGAAGTCAGAGGGAAGTATAGAATTATTCTGAGCCTTGGGGCCTTTGGGGCTTTTTAAAATTTTATTTGTGAGCATGGAGAAATGGTTTTACCTAGAGTACCTGGAGCCCCTGGAGTCAAATTTATCGGTGTCTTTTTTGGCCACTTTCATTTTGATTTTTATTGTGATTTTTAACTTTCCCAGCTTTTATCTAAAAACACAAAGTTGTCTAACTTTTAAATGTCAGGCTTATATAACATTACTTTCATTGTTTTATATCTAATGAGCTTCAAGATTCTGGTGGGTTTGCCTATTATCTGTCTGTACCATACCTAGATACAAGACTTAATGCAGCAACTGAAACTTTCATTATGATGGCTGTTTTCAGATCAACAGATCAACGAAATCTATTAGTTCTGGTGTCACTCCCAAAGATTTCCTTAAAAGTATTTTCAGAAACTGAGGAGCTGAATTTTAGACTAGCGCCCAGTTATTTGACCTCAATAAGCATGTTATTGTGTATGTCTGTGTGTGTATTTCCTCTCATCTTCTATTAAATTGTGGTCCTGCTTTTATAGCTCTCTCAGGGCTCACTTGCCTTTTGCTTTACCATTTTAAATCCAAGTCTCTAAGAGAACTCTGGCTGAGTGGGGCCAACATGTAGTTTCTCCTGCTTTTGAGGCCCCAACATTAATATCTTTTGTGTTCCTGCTCTCAGATGATGGAGCCTCAGGATTGATAAATACTATTGGAGGGTGCAGGGCACATACTGTAATTTGATAATCTAGTACTTCCTACGCAGCCATCTCATGATCCATGTGTCCTACCTACCTTGTAGGTGTTACATTCAGGATCCTGAGAGTAGCTTGGGTCTATTGCTCATGGATGTTTTACATGTCATCTTAAAATGACAGTGTGTGTCAGCCTGTACGGATAAATATGACAGTGAAACTTGCCCCATTGATTCCTTTTTCAGCATATATTAAGTTTTAACTTCTTATGGTTAGCTGCTTACGAATACTGTCTAATTGCCAATTTTTCCTGGTTAGATTGAAGCCTGTGCTGGAAAGTGCCCTCATGTTATGAGGGTACCATATGGTACCTGTTTCATGGAAGTGATACACAGCTCTTTTATTCTCAAAATACAGGGTAGTAGAAAAAGACAAATGTAGTTCAAAAAGAAAGAAAAATCGTAGTATAAATCCTAAGTTATTCAGAACCCATCCCAGTGTTCAGAAGAGTACCTTCCACAAAGTTGAGTTAGTTTGACCTAAGTTAAGTTGTGGGGAACCCCATGAGACTGTTTTCATCTACCTTAACTCATGCAAATAATTCTCAAATGCATGTTCTAATTCTGTGAGCAACTGCAAAGCCCATGAGTCGTCTGAAGTTTTATCATTTACAGGTACGTGACGCATTCTCAGACCATCCTGCAAACTCGACAGCAGCGACTTCTCTGTGACTGGGTCCAGAAAAGGTCATTTCAAGACTGACTTCACTGGATTCACTCCACCTGGTTTTCCTGACCCTACTACATCACTGTAAAGTGCCGTTGGCAGGAGCGCCAACACCAGCGGAAGACCCACTGGAGCCATCAGCGCCTCTGTCTCACCAGGCATCTTAACCAACAGAGCAGAGCCTCTGTGTGATACAGCGCCAGCTCATACTGCACAGGAAAAGACAACAAGTCCAGACTAGAGGCCTGGCTTTCCTTAAGACGCTGGAATTTGAAGGAGCTAGTCTGTGATCTGTGCTGCTAGTAAGTGACTGATAGTATTCTAGACTGGACTGGTCCCTGAATACAGAGACTGAGTTGCAGTTGAGTGAAAAATAGACTACGAGATCTTGAAGAACTGCACTGAGGTGCAAGCCAGACTTAACACTCAAGTGTTGGTTGAACTGAGAAGTTGTTGAAGGAAACCTGTGACAGGACTGATTGTTGCTTACTGCCTTTCTCTCTCTCTGTCATTGTTGCCTTTTGCTGTTACATTGCTTTGTGTTGTCTTTCTAAGCCAAGATGTTCTCTGATAATTCGCACTGCCCTGATTGTGGGCAGCAGTGGTTCCCTAGTTTAGAACTAGGGCATTGGTTATACCAAACTGAACTCGTTGAGAATGAATGTTACCAAGTGTTCTTAGACCGTATTAACAGAGCTGATTATTGCCCTGAATGTTATCCTGACAATCCTGCTAATAGAAGCCTTGTTCTGCCTTGGTCTTTCCCACTTGAGTGGGCACCTCAAAATCTGAGCCGGTGGACCTTTGAGAAAGCTTGCCATCCATTTCTTCTGGGTCCTCCACTGGTTAGAAAGAAGATACATGACTCCAGACTAGCTGGTTTTAATCCTGCATTACATTTAGTCTTGTCCAGAACAGACAAAACCTTAAACAAGAAACTTGGCCAAAGCAAGTGACTTCTGTAACAGAATCATGGAGATTCTCAAGGGCTTCGTGTTCATAGCCTAGGGGAAGATGAATAATAACTTGTTTCTGTTTTCTTTCTCTTTTTCTTATTTTTTTAAGGTGCTGGGGATGAATCTGAGTGCCCTGTGCATGCTAGACAAGTGCTCTTCCACTGAGTTAAGACTGAGTCCTCCCTTCCCTTTCTAAATCTCAGACTGTCACTTTGTCAACTGCTTAAATTTTTGGGTCTGCTTCTGTGGCCTATGAATTTCTTTTTAGCATAAATTTAATCAATATTTACCTAGAATCAGACTAACCTATGGTCCCTATAAATGCTTTGGGAACTAGATGGCTTCCTGAAAATTGCCACAGCCTAGGTATTGACAAGATAATGTGGTCCTGGAGCGTGGAGGCCCCACGTTGTATGCCCCATTAACTTTTTCTAACAGCACCTTTTATGAGAACACGTTCTTGTAGCTGGATTCTAGGTTATTCTAATAAATTTTAATATACTACGTTGTTCTAATTTTTTCTTTATACATTGATCAGTAACGAGAGATACGTGTATATGTATATGTTAAATTTTTTTTTACATATATAAAATCATTCTTCTTTGACACTGTTTTATCCTCAGTGTGTTAACAGTGTTGGTAACTGGTCCTGTCACATTCTATTTGGCAAGACCTACTACGTAAGTTACAAAAAAATGTGTTGAGAATGTGTCCAGTTTACCCTTAGCTGGCTCTACGTAACCAAAGACTGTCCTGTCTTGTGGTTACTGAACTAATGTCCTCCCATGGAAATGGGAAGTTAACCTGTGCTGTGAAATTCGTAGCACATGACAAAGCTTGACTCCATATAATTTAAGAATAGTCTAATGGATGCTTTGTCTTAGACATAAGAGAATATGTCACTGAACATTGGCCACATTCCGGAGTTCTGTTCTTGGGAATCATGGAATCAGATTTGGAGTTAAGCAACTTAAAAAAAGCTCCTGGGAACATCTGAGAAGCCACTGAACAATTTTTAAATCTAGGTCATCCAGTGCCTGTGTAGCAGCAGAAATGTCAAGGACCTGTGTTGTTCTGTTTCCTTCCCTGAGGTCTTTATGGTTGCTCTTTGTTCTCATAATTGTTTTTAAATGAGTTCAGTATGGCTTATTGTATCAGACATTTTAATCTCAGCCAGAAGCTGGAAGCAGGGGCCACATGGCTTTCTTTCTTACTAGTCTTACTTTGGAAATAAAATCTTTCTAAAATGTCTCAGCGCATTTTTTTTTTAAAGCAAACAAAACAAACAAATAAAAAAGACACCTCACTAACAGGTACTACTACCACACTAGTCTGAGGAAAACTTGGCAAAGGAGAAGGTTGGCCTTGTCTGATATGGCACATTGCCTCCGCTGATAAAACTGTGATCTTTTAAGGGGGGGATGTGGAGAAATGTGTAGGTGTTGATATGCATCAAGTCTTGCTTTCCACGTGTGAAAACTGGCTTTTGTTTGTCTATGATGAATGTGTCTGCCTTATGTCCATCATGGTGGAGGTTCTCTTCTGGTACATTGCTGAATAGACTGCTGAATTACGTGATGACTAGTTACTCAGTAATCTGCAGTGAGGTACTCCCTTACTGTTTTTCCTAAACCTCTTCCCCAAACACGCTTTTTAGAGGGAACTATTACCGTCTCATTTTTTTTTTTTTTTAGTTACTGAAAATGTCTATGCCCCAAAGACATATGCTAAGATTCTACATGTATGAAAATTTAAACATTAGCAAAGTGGAAACAAAATTTTTGTTTTAACCAACTCTTTAATAGTATCAACATACGAAGAATTTATACCATTGAGTTCTCGGAAACAAGCAGTGACTGAGAGCACTTTTAAGTTACAAGCTTGTTAGTCTATCAAATATTGTGGGCAATCTGTGGACCATATGTTGAGGCCGGCCTGCATTGGTACATCCATCGTGCACACGTGGCTTAAGAGGATGGGAGCCTGGTGAGCTCTTACAGTACCTGTACAAGTTGAGTGATTCATCAGAACCGTTGTGCCCTCCTCACCAGCAGTTCTGGGTGATGTCATTGTAAGTTGCATGAGTGATATGGGCCAGAGAGAGGACTGAAAAAGTACTCACTTTTAGTCTGAAGGTCCTTTACGTTCAAGTGTGATATAACACGACCAGTTTATGATCTACCAGATAGAAACATCATGTGGAAGAGGTAAAATTGAGCAGAAAGGATGTTTTGGAAGCCTTGTATAGCGTAGGTCTTCAGAGTCTTTATATTTTTAAATACAGTATTTTAGAACACTTTATAGCAAATATGAATAATGGGCTTTATTAAAACATGATTAATTTGATTAAATTCTAATGATTAAGATCAAAATTATCCAAGATAATCTGTTTTAATCGTCTACTACAGTCTTCATAGGGTGGAAGAATTGCTAAAACTATACATAGTAAAATCTTTTAAATGGTCATCATAACTTCCTGCTACTTTCCCACAGATTTGGGTATAGATTTGGGGATAGACTGGAAGAAAAGTACTTTAACCAGAGAAGACTGCTCTTACAGGATGTGGGTGGCTGAGGTCTTAACTGTCCAAATTACAGAGAAAGGCGCCTCAGCCAAGCAGATAAACAAATCTGAGGCTATGATAGCCAAAGAATATGATAGCCCACATGTCATAGCTGTCTGAAAAGCGAGGTGAGCCACCCCATTCAAGCGTCTCCCAGTCTCCCTTGAATCTCCATAGATTTTTGAGGACATGGCTTGAAAACTGCTTTTTTGATTGGTTTTGAGACAGGATCTCTAGAGACCAGGCTGGCCTAGAATTCACAGAGACCCTCCTGCCTCTGCCTCCCAAGAACTGGGATTAAAGGCATGCACCACCAACCAAGCCCAGTAAAAGCTGCATTTTATGAGGCAGAAATAATAGCTTTTAGCTTCTGGGATATATTTTAATTCGGACACTATTAAATGGCCCTGGCCATTTTAACTGGTCTAAGCGTGAGATAGTGATAATGTCTGCCTCATACTGTTACGCACTTTACCCGTCATGTGACACAGAATGTTCTGGACAATGAGGCAGAAAACAGAACTAGAGAAAAGGGCAAAAAAACCACGTAGTTTTAGAACAAGTAGAACCAGTTAGAACTTGATGATTGAATTATCAAAAACTTAAATCTGATGGGAGGACAAGATTGACCTTGGGCTTCGAGCCAAAGACGAAAGCCATGTGATCTCTGGTATGAAGGAGGTTGAGAGGCCTGGAGGGACAAATAGCCCAAGGTAGATAGAAAACTCATGTATCTTAACTGGTAGACACAAATGTGATATAAATTGGTGTTAGCAGGGACTTGCTACAAGTTTGAAAGAAACATTTTGAAAAATGTTAGTGGATCTGAGCTAGGTGGCCCAGGCGTTTAATCCCAGCACCCAGAAGACAGAGGCAGGCAGATTTCTGTTTAAGGCCAGCCTGGGCTACATACATTGTTCCAGGCTAGCCAGCCACTTTATCTTGGGGGTCTGTAGGAGGGATGTTAAATCTGCAGACTTACACAGACTATATAACCAGAGTCCCAGTTCAAACCTAGATCAACTCTACCAGGGTTGGGGACCTTTGCAGTGTTTAATTTTTTTTAGGGTGTTGGGTGCCATAGACATACCATCTGACCTGAGGTCCTGACTCTACCTTTAGGTGTGTGTCCTTGAGAAAGATTCTTGTTTTGTTTTGTTTTGTTTTGTTTTGTTTTATTCAAAACGGGGTTTCTCTGTGTAGCCTTGGTTGTCCTGGCCTCACTTTGTAGACCAGGCTGGCCTTGAACTCACAGAGATCCGCCTGCCTCAGCCTCCCCAGAGTGCTGGGATTACAGGTTTGAGAAAGGCTCTTAACTCGCATCTTGGTTTGGAAAGTAGTAAGAACACTCTAATAGTTTCCACTTTGTGCTTGTTGCAGATTTTGAGTTTGGCTGCCTGGTACCAAGAAGGCACTCTATTAGCAGACAAAACCAGCACTGGATAAATAGTAACAGTCACAGCCATTTGGTATGCTGTGTTTTCTGATGCCAGAGCAGGATGCCAAATTGCTCTATGTCCAGCATACCTGTTCTGTTTGTTCTAGGGGCCTGAGATGACATAGTTGACTTAAAAGGAGTGTTTACACATTTTGAGAGCCGTATCATCAGACCCTTCTGCTGTACATTTGTAATGTCATTTGTGTCAAGCTTCGATTTGGGAGGGACTCATGTCTTCTGCCCTATTTACACTGAACTTTATTCCCAACTCCTCTTTGCTTCCTGTTACCTAGCCCTTCCCCCCTGTTCCTGTCTTCTCCAAATCTCCGTCTTTCCTTGCTTTCCACGGGTCCCTTTGACAACACCTGAGACTCACAGGATGTGAAGGGTGAGGAAGGAGCTGCTGCCCTGACAGCCCTGAGTTTTCTCCACACGGGCAGCTTTCCTTTGTCCGGTCTTTCCAGCTTGTTACAAAATGTGTAGGTGGCTGTGTTTGAAGCTCCTGGGGTAGTAGTTTACCCCCAGGTGGTCCTAATTGTCATTATAGGCCCTTACGGGTACAGAATGTATCTTGTTACTTTTTTCTTGTGGGGTGTATGGTAGAAGTACATGAGTTTGTGTGCCTTTGTACCCGTGGATATATGTGGTGACCAGTGAGGATGTCAGTTTTCCTTTATCAGTCTTCACCTTGTTCCTGCCATTTTGGCCAAGCCGGCTGAAGCAGGCTTCCATCTCTGCCACCCAACCTTGGGGATTCGAACTGAAGTCCTCATGTTTGTATGGCAGTGTTCTTAACCATTACAACATCTCCCTCACCGATTATCTCTAAAAGAGAAAACTGCAGGATATAGTAAATGTGTACCCCTATCTAAAAGACATTAACATTTTGCTACATTTGACAGAAGAAAAGTAAGCTGCCATTTAGTACAGTCTCTATAAGTGGAGACTAAATCGTATAACTTTAGGAAAATGAATCACTGTGAGACACTGAAAACCACCATTTCACAATTGAACTTGGAAGAGATTCATTAAAAGTAAATGTGTTTGTGCCAGTTGAGAGACATTCCTGAAAACATACCATTGAATACCTTTTTTGGGACAGTTTTCTTGTTGTAGAAAGTCTCCAACAATGTATTTTTGATCACCATGAGGCTTGCCCTCAGTTTTCTATATTTTATTATTTTTAATTAATTAATTTATATATTAATTCACTTTTGGTTTTGACATAATGACTTTGATGTAGCCCAGGCTGGCCATGTAATCCAGGACGGCCTCAGACTCATGATCCTTCTGGCCCTGTCTCCCAAGTGCTGGGCTCACAGGCTCCAGCCACTGTACCCTCCTGCCGCACTTTCTCTGTGAGATTCTGAATGAAATGTCTTCCTGTTTTGGACTTGTCACTGCTCAAAAGACTCACCTGATTCTGAAACAGTGGCCTCCAGATGGCTCAGACACCAGACCACATGACTTTGTGAGGTGAGGTGAAAAACACGTTTGTCCCACTTGTTTTTTTGCGGGAATGCTGTCTCATCCCTGTACAGAGGTGAGGCCTTCCAAAGGATTTGAGAGCAGCTGCCGGGCTCCCGGGCTGCCGTCAGTGTGCTTTGATAGTTATATGCCGAGCCTTTGGAGACATTTCTGTGGTGGATCTTTCGCTGCTGCTTTTTGCTGCACTGTAGCTTGAGACGTTTTAGGACAGCCTGGCTGTCACAGTGTTAAAGACGTACAGTAAGCACACAGGCTCTAACGTCTGACAGCTGACAGCGACTGGAATGTGTTGATCACCCAGGTTCCTCGGGCTGTTTTTCCAGTCCATACTCCCTTCTCTAGCAACCACTAACTTGTTTTTCTTTCTCTGTCGATGGTAATCATTTACCTACTCTAGAACATCCTGTAAATGGGATCATTTGACATATTTTTGTTGTGATTTTTTTCAGCATGGTGCTGATGGTTAAATCCAGGGCAGGCCCTGTGTTATACACGCACACAACTGAAGTATCAAAAAACGTGAAAAATGAGAAGACAGTCTTTAAATTTGAGACCCTCATGAGCATTCTTATCAGCAGAAAGAGGGACATGCTCCTAAATCTCCATTCTTTTCAGTTTATATACCGCACACATTCATTTTCTTAAAAAAAATTAATATTTATGTGTTTGCATTACATGATTATGTATGTGGAGGTTGGGGCTGGAGGATACTGTATGGAAGTCGGTTTTCTCTTGACTCTGTGGGTCCTAGCATGACATCTGAGGTTGTCCATCTTGTATTTTACTTTATTTTGCATCACTGAGAATCGAACCTCAGGTCTTATGCATGCCAGGCAAGAGCTGTACCACTGAGCCTGTTCTGCTGAGCTGTACCACCGAGCCCTTGGTTGTCTGTTTTGGGGGCAACTGCTTTTACCTGCTGAACTGTCCATCCCTCATAATGTTTTAAATATGCTTTTCAAACAATATGCAGAGTTTTACTATATACTGGCCACTATAGTAGATAGTTGAGGTTGAAATGCTTAAAAGTTTTAGTATGTGAGAGTACTGTGGAAAAATGCAAAGAAAAGCTGGCTTTACCTGCCTCTCAAATAGGCTGTCAAAGAGTGTAACACCTTACAAAGCTCTATCCCCTGTGTTTTTGTGTTTAATCCTTGGCCTCAGTTTAACAACTAATGAAGATCAAGTAGCTTACAGAACAAATTGTATTCAACAGTAAGACATAATGACTTGATCCTTGTGGCCTAAAAATGACTCTGGACTTCGCTCCTCTTGAAGAGCTTGTACTTGTCTTCTCTTGACATCACAAGGACGTGGCGTGAATGGTTCTGTGTCTCCGTAGATTCCAAAGTGTGCTCGCTGCATCTGCAGGCAGCACTTGTGTGGCTCCTTGCTCGTTTGTAACTGAGCACTTGTGATCTGAATGACGCGAGAGAACAAGACGGGCCAGAAACTTCCAGCACAGAGAGTCACAGAGACTGCCTGCCTGCACATCTGCTCTTAGGAGGAATCTGTGTCTGGATTCAGGGGACTCTAAGCTCCTGTTCTCTTCTCTTCTTGTTACACTCCTGTTAAGTCCATTGTCTGGAGAATTTTTCTGGAGAAAATTTCCTGGTTTGGGATATGATGCTACTGAAACCCAGAAAGCAACTTTTCTTAAGGGTTTGAGAAATAACACAAGAGAAAAGGGATTTTATTCAAAAGCTGAGATTGGTGTTTTGCCCTTGAATGAATAAAAAGTCACTTAATTGTTTGTTTTTCATTTTGTTTTAGTCATTGTATACAGTCCTTGCTTCTTGCTTCCCTGGGAAGCATGCGTCTATTGGAACTTGGGACAGGAAGAAAACAAGATATCTCCACTACAAAACCCAGACACTAAAAGAGGCCCCAAGCTCTGAAGAACCAGGACACAAACATGAGCGACAGTGGCTGCAGCGATCCTGTGGCAGGTAAGGCTGGTCCTCACAGCACCGAAGCCTGTGCTGTAGGGAATGGGGGCTGTGAAGACTGTCTCCAATGACCAAACCCTCAAATTTCCAAGTAAAAAAATAACTCATGCAGTGGGTTACGTTACCTTTTTCATATTTACTGATTTTATTTTTTACATATGAATATAAGAAAGATAAATGTTTCAGATGCCAAAAGTAGGGAATGGTCATTTTAGCAAAATGCTATGTATCTTTTTTAAAGATGGTAGACTCATCTACTTATTAAATAAAAAACAAACAAACAAAAAACTAATTTACAGGAGACCTTTTATAAAATGAAAAGTAAAGTCTTCATCTTGTTTCCAGGTGTATGTGAATGTGTGTGTTTGTCTTTCTTTGTGTATGTGTGAGTGTGTGTATGTGAGTCTCTGTGTGAGGTCAGTGTGTGTATGTGAGTCTGAGTATGAGTGTGTTTGTGTGTATGTGTAAGTCTCTGTGTATGTGTGTGTGCCTGTATATGTGTATGTGAGTCTCTCTGTGTGAGTGTGTGTGTGATAGTTTCTCTGTGTGTGAGAGTGTGTGTCTGCGTGTTTCAGTATGTGAGTGGCTCTGTGTAAGTGTGTGTGTGTGTGCATGTGTGTCTCTGTATGTGAGTGTGTGTGGTATAGAACAGGCAACTGTGAAATAGCTTTTTCAGAAGAGAAAGAGGACGTCAGTTCTGGTTTTTAATTTTTTTTTAAGATTTATTTATTAGTATATAGTGCTCGGCCTACACGCCAGAAGAGGGCACCAGATCTCATTATAGATGGTTGTGAGCCACCATGTGGGTGCTGGGAATTGAACTCAAGACCTCCGGGAAAACAGCCAGTGCTCTTAAGCTCTGAGCCATCTCTCCAGCCCCTGTTTTAAAACTTTTAACATTTCTGCATTTACTTTCTATGTGTGTAACTGCGCGTAAAGGTCAGAGGTCAGCTTGGTTCCCTCCTGCCATATAGGTCTCAGATTGAATCCGAGTTGTCAGCATGGCCACGAGTGCTTTTATCTGGTGAGCCCCTTGCTGGATCCACATTAGATCTTCACTAAGGAAGTTCTTAGATGTGTGATAGTAGAACAGTATGGCAAGCACCCTGGGCTTAGCATCCAGCTTCAGGGTTAGCAGCACACATGATCTTGTTGCCCTGGCGGGGTGTGCAGCTAATCGGTGGACATTTGCCCGGCATGCAGAAGGCCCTGGAGTCCATCCTGCTGCTACAGAGGAAACAAACTGAAGCCCATGAGTTAGCTAGGAAAACACAAGTGACATATATTTGATGATATTAAGAAATTACTCCTTTTTAAATATTTTAAAAAGTGTTAGTTTTTCTAAAGAATCCTCCTCTCTTTAGAGATGTATATACTAGTATCTTAACTAAAATCAGGAGATGTCTCGAACTTGCTTTGTTAAAAATCATAGGAGGGAAGGGAAAAGTGAGGGATTAATACAGATGCAACAAAATACATCTTTTTATTGTTGTTGAAACAGGGTCTCTCTCTGTGTAACACAAGCTAACCTTGAACTCATGATGTTCTTGTATCAGCCTCCGAAGTGCTGCAATTGCACTAGGTATGGCCACCACCCTGGCTTAAGAAAATAGATTTAGTGTAACTTTATTATTAGTTATTATTATTATTATTTTATGTATTACTTCAGTACTCACAATTCCTTTATATCAGTATTAGTTATTAGCTTTATTAGCATGGACAGTTTGTTTTAGCCTTGGTGGGAGATCAGAGAGTTAATGTTTAGGAAAAGTGCCTTGTAAATCATGAAAAAGTATGTATGTATGTATGTGTGTGTGTGTGTGTGTGTGTGTGTGTGTGTGTGTGTATGTATGTATGTATGTATGTATGTATGTAATTGCAGACCTTGTTAGAGTACAAATCTGTGGAGGAAATGTTTAAAATAAAACATTTTTATCTCACCAGACTCTGAAAAGGATTTGGAAAGTGATCCCTCAGTCAACTCTCAAGCACAGGACACCATAGTCACACCAAATAGCACTGAAGAAGCCCAGATTCCACATCCTACATCTGATCTTAAGAAAGACCATCATGAGGAAGGTGCCAAAAGTCAAGAACATAAAGACACAGGAGACAAACTGGAAAGTTCAGAGGAAACAGCTTTAGAAAACTCTGCTTTATTGGATAAAGCAGAACCCGAGAGCAGCCCGAGTTCTCAGGACACTGGGCAGGGGCATCAGCCCCCCTCGGAGCCTCTGGGTGGAGAGGATCTGGGTGCTAACTGCTCTCACAGTGGCGAGGGAGGAGTTGCAGATGCACACCTGGGGAGCAGCTCCGGGGAGCCCCCAGACGGAGCAGGCGACAGATGTGAAGCTGCTCAGGAGCCACCTGCTACAGACTCCCCCGATGCCCAGAGTCCTGCTTCCAGCGCAGAAGCGGGGAGCCAGGGTTCACTGAGGAGGCGACTGCCTGCGCCAGGTGAGAGGACCCTCTGGCCTGCTGCTGCCCTGCCTCGGGTTGCCCGAGAATGTGGTAGAAGTCATTCAAAGCAATGGGATGCTGCAGTGAGGTTTCCAGTCTTCTGGACCACCTCAGTCACTGTATTTACTTGTTACCTACACATTTAAGTGTGTGTGTGTGTGTGTGTGTGTGTGTGTGTGTAGGTGACAGGTGTGTTTATGGACGTCAAAGGACAACTTGCATGAATCATTGCAGCTCTTCTACCATGTGGCTCCTAGAAACTGAACTCGGACCATCAAGCTTGGTAGCAATCACCATTACCCACTGAGCCATCTTGATGGCCCATAAATTGCATTTTTCTAAAATTTATTTTATGTGTATAGATGTTTTGCCTGAAAGAATGTCTGTATGTGCATGCCTGTATTCAAGGTGGTCAGAAGAGGATGTCAGAACCCCTGAAGCTGAATTACCACCATGTGGGTGCTGGGAATTGAACCTTGGTCTCTGGAAAAGCAGCCAGTGCTTTTAACCACTGAGCCATTTCTCCAGCCCCACAAACTACATTTTTAAATATTGTTTTTATTTACTGTTCATATTCATGCAAATGACAAAAAGGAACACAACTTATGAAAAAGTCTTATTTTTGTTTCTTATGAGGATATTTGACTTCACACTTAAAATTTTTTAGTCCTTTGAAAAACAAAATATTATGTAAATCATCAGGTGAGTGCGTATAAATCAGCTCACACACACACACACATATAGATGCTTGGTTCGTTTTTGTTGTTGCTCTTGTTTTGTGATAGTATCTCACTCTGTAGGCCATGCTGGCCCCAAAATCACAGTGACCATCTTGCCTCAGCCTTCTGAGCTCCAGGATCCCAGGCATACACCATCATGTCCAGAACTTTCAGTACTCTGAGGAGCTCAGTCTGGAATGGCCATCTTCTAGTACCGAGGTGTAGTGACCAGCAAGGATTGACTGTGAGTTAATAACTCATGTCCCTCTGTGAGCCCCTGATGTCTCATGTGTCTCCGTCAGAGTAGTGTGTACAGAGATCACTTAGCTCATTTCCTTGATTGTATTTCTCTGGCATCCAGCACATAGGTTGAATAGTTTTTGAGTGAGAAAATGAATGAATGAGTGACAAATGTGATTGGATGGAGCATCATGTACTATAATACTTTCAACACTGTAGAGGTTCACCATGAGTAGAAAAAGAAAACCGTGTTTCGAATATAGTGTCTGTGTAGGAAAGAACCTAATATGGTGAAATGAACTAACCTGGTTTGCAGAAAAGGAAATTTGCAGAAGTATAGGTACTCGCCGTGTAATCGGGTAAGAGGTAAGAGATACTGTCCACTATCTATAATGCTGTCTGCAATGTTCCTTCTAACCCCAGAGGCCGGAAGTCAGGAAGAAGAGGTGCAGTTAGTGAAGAAGGAAGAGCTTGCTCAGGATATGTTGAGAAAGACTGATAAAAAGAGCCTCTGGACCTATGGTGAGAACAAGCCTCATCTTGCAACAGTCAATTTACATTCTCAGATCCTTAAGGAAATGTCTAGAAAGCTGTTTCATTTAAGCACTTTTAACTTTAATTTTATATATATTAAAATGCTTGGTAAACTTAATAAAATAAAGCAATAAAGTTATAAAGTTTTTTTTTTTTTTTTTTCTTCAGGACTACTGTTTGGTATTTTGCTTAGCAAATGGAAATCTTCATGGTCAGAAAATCTATTGCCTCTTCCCCACCCCGACTCCCAGTCCTACCCCCACCCCTGACCCTCAGAGGGAACCTGAATCGGCCTGAGTGTGAATGCTCAGCAAGTGCCCTAGTGCCAAGCTACTGTGCTAGAGGCAGAAGACACTGCATAGGAAACAGGAAGCTAAAACTACCTGTTGCCTTGTTGTGTTGAGGCGGGGCTTTGCCATGTAGTCCTGACGGGCCTGGGGTTGACTGGGCTAACCTTAGACATATGGCAGTACCCTGCTTTGGCCTCCAGAAACCACCTTTTCAGTTAGAGTCTGCTGACCTCAAGTGCATGCTGCAGTTGTTGGTGTTCCTTTCTGAGACCGAGTCTCAGTGTGTAGCATCACGGTGCTCCCACATGCCAAGATTTATTTATAGGCTGTGCCACCCTGTTGGGATCACTTTTAAGTTTTTATTTCAGAGTGGCCTGCTCTAGCCAGTGTGTACTCTGAGAACGTGGAAGAGAGTTTTCATGACACACTTTCAAAAGCATCATTGACTATATAATAAAGCATATGAACCACCTTGACATAGATAATGTATCTTCAGATGGCTTCAAGAGATTAAAAACTGTATTTCTGTTAGACTTTTAAAAGTATTTATTTATTTTTAAGTACATTGATGTTTGCCTGTATGTATGTTTGTGTAAAGGTATCAGATCTTCCGGAACTGTAGTTATAGACAGTTGTGAGCTGTCATGTGGTGCTGGGAATTGAACCCGGGTCCTCTGGAAGAGCAACCAGTGCTCTAAACCTTGGAGCCATCTCTCCATCCCTAGACTTTTGTTTTATTTATTGCTATGTAGACCAGAGTGGCCTCAGATTCATGACAATCCTCCTGCCTCAGCTTCTACTAGACATTAAGTGTGAAAGTGTAGAAGAGTCGGGTAAAAGGAACTTGGCATTGCCAGTAATGCTTGGTAGGAATCTGTGTTCCCTTTCCCTTTTCCACAGCTTTGTTTCTGATTCATGTTCTTCTCGTTTTCTGGTATCTTCTCATCTGGCAGGTTCTTTGTTTCTTGGCTTCCTAATTGTGGCTATTGCACTGAAGTCCGTCAATAGCTACTATTCCACCCCAGCCCAGCAAGTGCCCCAGAACCCAGCTCTGGAGGCCTTCCTGGCTCAGTTTAGCCAACTGAAGGATAAATTTCCAGGTCAGAGTTCCTTCCTGTGGCAGCGGGGACGAAAGTTTCTCCAGAAGCACCTCAATGTTTCAAACCCCACCGAACCAGCCACCATCATCTTCACAGCCGCTCAAGAGGGAAGGGAGACCCTCAAGTGCCTGAGCCACCACGTTGCCAACGCCTACACCTCCTCCCAGAAGGTGTCTGCCGTCTCCATAGATGGAGCCGAGAGAGCCCTGCAGGACAGCGACACAGTCAAGCTGCTGGTTGACGTGGAGCTCAGCCACGGGTTTGAGAACGGCCATAAGGCCGCCGTCGTCCACCACTTCGAGTCCCTCCCCGCAGGCTCCACCCTCATCTTCTACAAGTATTGTGACCACGAGAACGCTGCCTTCAAGGATGTGGCCCTCGTCCTGACGGTCCTGCTGGAGGAGGAAAGCTTAGAAGCAAGCGTAGGCCCCCGGGAAACGGAAGAAAAAGTGAGGGATTTACTCTGGGCCAAGTTCACCAACTCTGAAACCCCCAGCTCCTTCAGCCACATGGACTCCGACAAACTGAGTGGGCTGTGGAGCCGCATCTCCCACCTGGTGCTGCCCGTGCAGCCCGTCAAGCACATCGAAGAGCAAGGCTGCCTTTTGTGAGGCTTGGACAGAGGCGGCGTGGAAGGGCCCGGGGCTGAGGGCCCTGCTCCACTTGGGGGAGGTGGTTGGCACATGACCTTATTTTAGAAAAGAAGCATGCTTTCCCCCCCTTTTATAAAAACTTTCTAGTCTGAACTTTGATAAAGCTAATAATGGGCCTGATGCTTTTCTTTGGCCTTTAAAGCAAATCAGGTTTGACACAGCATGACACATAAAACTGAGGGTTTGCGTAAATGTCCGTGACATCGGCAGAATCACTGCACAGGAAGAGCTGATTCTCAGAGGACCCGCAGCCTGACTGCTGCCTTGCAGGGACTCTCAACTTGGGCAGTGTTTGGTCTCGGACTAATTGTAATTTGAATGATTTTTAGAGAACTCTTCTACCACGTAATAAGTGTTTTTTAAAGACTCACTTTAATAATGGAGTTCTGGGATTATATCTACACAGATTTGCACTTTGAGTAGATGAAGGCAGGAAAGCAGAATTGAACCCTCCAAATCCTAAGAGCCTGGGTGTGCATGCTCTTATTCCGTTAATGAGCTGAGGTGAGAATAGCTGTGTTCAAACCATGTCCCCAAGTATTGGAATCAGTGGAGAAGTTGTTAGTACTCTTGGACGTGAAAAAAATCCCAATTGGCTGTATCATTTCTCTTTGCCTACCAGCATCCCCTCCTTCGTATTGAGAGCATTTCTGCTCTTCGTGCTGGTATTTGGGGTTCTCGGGTAAGAGACCAGGGGAACTGAATTTCATTGAGAAGGAAGTTTGGTAACCATTAATGAAGTGAAAGCACATTCTAGAGGATAGGAACTCAGGAAGAAGTGAAAGTGATAGCGCATAGTAGGAATAAGGTCTGTTGTACAGGGTGATAAAGACCTACAGATGAGCTGCTGCTGCAGGGTGTCGAGGCATGGCCTCACCTGTCTGTTTATTTCTGTTGCTCTTTTCTGCCTCCCTGGCTGGATTCACAATAGTCTGTCAGGAGAGTTTGAGTGCTGTTTCAGAAGAGACTTGAGTAAGAGCCTGGGGTACCGTTACCAAATGGGATGTTGTGTTCGTTTCTTGACAGCTAGTTAAAACTGCCACCAGGGAAGGAATTGGAGAAATGCAAGAGGGTGTTCTAAATAGGGAAGAGAAAGGATTCAATGCCACGTCCCAAGGTTCTAGACTGGGGCCAGTAGATACTGATCAGCACATGAGCTCTGAAAGTAAAACTCTAGAAAAATGACCTTGATCCACAAAAGGTCTGTTCCATTACACGGAATAGCACTGGAATTTTGCACTAAATTTAGGCTCGTCTGCTGCTAGGAGATGATGTATATAGTTAAGAAGTTAAGTAGCCTGAGTCTGGAGGGATTTTAGGAAACACTAAGGAGATTTCTGTTGCTAGTTTAAGGACCACCAAGACATGGGTGAGGGGTGATCTGAGAGTAGCTGCCATGGAAAGAACAGATTGGCTTTGGCCAGAGCCTTTGGAGCTCAGTTAAGCATGGAGGCACACATGAAGAAACTGTGTATTTGGGATTTGGAAGGAATCTTGCAGTAGGGTTGAGAAAAGACCCTAAACACGAAGTGAACCAAGTTTGAATGTCAACCCAATGTAAAACACAGGGACTGAAGAGAAATCTCTTTGCCATATTTGATTTTTTTTTTTTCTGTATTTCTAGTATTTCTGTATTTGATTTGAATGCTAGTGGCTTCTCACATAGCCCTGGTTGTTCTGGTCCTCACTCTGTAGCGTGGGCTGATGTTGAACTTACAGCAACTTCTCCTACCTCAGTCTCCTGAGCGCTGGGGTTATAGGAGTACACCATCATATCCAGCTTGAATTTCAGGGTTTACCTACTAGCATCACATCACGTAAAACCAAGGGTGCCTTACAGAACTGTTATGTTGGCCTTTGACCTGTGCTACCTCAGACTACAGAGGAACTGGTCTAAAGTATTTGTACACAGTCCATGTCAGTGGCTCATATTACAGGAGAAATAAGGAATTATTTTTTTCATCCAGTTGAATAGAGTTTTACATAATTTGCTGTCAACATAAATTTAGGATATAATAAATTTTAGAAATTTATTTTCAATTTTTTGCTGTTTACTTTGTTAAAATGCACTTTCCTTCTATACTGAGTTCAATCAACTGAGACTAGTTTTCTATCCACTATTTCAAAGCTCTTTATTAAAAAAAAAATTTTATTTTTTTTTTATTTTATTTTATTTTTTTCAGTTCTAGGGATTAAACCCAGGGCCTTGACATTCAAAGAAAAGTGCCCTACCACTAAGCTACATCCCAGACTTCTTAAAAATCATTTTGAAAAGAAGCCGTATATTAGTTTGGGATCAGAAGAAATGATTTTCTGTTTTTGATACAGAGTCTTTTCCTAGCCAAACTAGGGATTCTCGGGCCTTAGACTTTTACATTATAGGGATTAAAGGAATGTGCCACCACACCTGCTTAATGTAATTACTTCTTAGAAACAAAATTATATTTTAAAATATACACATAATTAAAATCTGTTATCTGGTCATTGTCTCCTAGACCACTGTGGTCACATTTTTTTAGTTTTTCAACCTCTTATGTATGTAGTAATTCTTTATTTGTGATAATTTGCTTGTTTTGCTTTTGTTTTTATTTTTAGTTTTTTGTTTGTTTGTTTGTTTGTTTGTTTGTTTGTTTTTAATGGGAATTCCTTCTTGAGTAATATGAAGTCCCAGAAGCAAGCAGGGGAAATAGAAACTGTCTTTGGACTTCGGTTTTTTTCTTTCAGGTAAAATTTAGATTTTTTTTTTTTTTTTTTTTTTTTTTTTTTTTTTTTTAGTTAGCTCTTAGAGATCATCAGAGAAGTTCTAGAGAGTTCTTGGCACTGAACTAATTTTAATAAATTTCACCTAGAAGCTCTCAGGCTTGGGGTAGTGAGGCCCAGTGTCCTTCCCGTCAGCTTATGGCCTGCCCTAACAGTGCTGGCTGATGGTACAGCTTTGTCTCACAGCCTCTGGCTTCAACTCCACTTGTTAAAGACAGAGCATTGTGAGCATTGATGTTCGGGAATGACAGACGGGTGCAGCCTGTGAACATGAGAGCAGCACAGCAAATTGATTTTCACCAACCAAGATTTCTCAATCCCACGGAATTTTGCCTTTATGTATTTACAGATTTAATGCCTTTGACATTGTCAGATTTACTCAAGTCACCATGATTGCCTTTTGCATTTGTTTTCATATCAGTGATGTTGAATGTGCCTTATTCAAATCAGTGGTCCAGTTAATATGCAAATAAATCTTAAATTTTTTCAAGTTGACTTATCTTTGACAAAAATCTCCAAAATAAAGAGTTTACACAAATGGGCATGTGGTCATTCATGGTGGGAAGAGTCGAAAGGATTCTAGAAACATCAAGTGGTGGTGTCTGTCAGGGAAGAGTACAGTGTAGGCAGTGTGCCTGGGACCCTTGCCCGTGTTTACGTAGCACTTTGTTCCAGTGCACTGGGCTCCCTCCTGACGTGAGTGACAGAGCAAGCACAGCCTTGGCAGTTGTTCCCAACGTGGGGTGTTAAGTACTGGCGGACATCTGACATTCTTGTATGTTGGCAGTAGTGGGGGGCTTGTGTTAAAAATTCAAACTTAGAGGCTAGAGAGGGTTTCACAAAGTGCTTGCTGCAGAAACATGAGAACCAGACTTTGCATCCCAACATACTCGCAACAAGTTGGGCTGAATCTTAATATCCAGGTGTCTGACACCTTCTGTTATCAGCCTGGACACAGGCATACGTGAACTTACATACACATGCAAATAAATGTAAACAAAACGAAACAAAAACTGCACGGCAGCACACATCTGCAGATCCAGCTGTTGGGAATGTAGAGACCTCTGGGGCTCACTGACCAGCCGGCCCAGCTGAATCTGTAATTTCTAGGTTGAGTAAGAGAGCCTCTCTGAGAAAAGATGGAGTGCAACTGAGGAAGCCATTCAGCGTCAATCTCCATCACCCACACACATGCGTGTATACACACACACACACAATCTCAGGGCTGGGCTGAGAGCTCAGTTGGTAGAATGCCTCGGGAACATAAGGACCTGAGTTCAGTCTTCACAACAGCTGTTGTAAAAAAAAAAAAAAAAAAAAGAAAGAAAAAGCCAGGTGCAGTGGCGGAGGCTTCTTAGCCCAGTCTTAGGGAAGCCAGAGTCACATGCAGATCCCTGGGGCTTGACAGCCAGCCAGCTAACCACTCACCATCGCCAGGCCTGCCTCAGATAACAAGATGGACTGTGCCGGAGGAAGGGTACACACCAGAACAAAAGAAAAATTCCCTCTGAGAATGTTGCCAAACCCGAATTAGCACGCAGAACCCCACTGTGAGGAGCTCCAGCCCCTCACTGTTCTTTCTCTGCTGTTGTGTTGTCGTTCCCCCCCACACACCGACTTCCCTCAGCTCGGACCAAAGTGTGTTCTTGACTGATTTCCTATTTGAGTCTTGTAGGTTAGGAAAATATATTTTCGAGAGTTAGCATACCTTAAGAGCTTTCGGCTAGACAGGGTAGTGGAGCCTGCTTGCATGGGGCTTCTTAATTGAGGTCCAGATAGCTACAATAGATGAGCAGCATAGGGGCTGTTTTGTTTTTAAGTATTTAGGTTAAAAGTGTAGAAAAGCACTTGTCTACCCCCTCAAACACAAACTGGGTAGTAGTCGGGTTGCCAGGTAACATATTCAAACTTGAGAAGATTTTAAAAACTTTACAAAAAAACAAAACTAAGCCCTCTATTCAGATAGCCTGGCTGCAGTTGTGAGGGAGGGAACTGGCAGGCTGCAAAGATAGCTCAGTGGTTGTGCTCTCTGCTCTTATTAGCAACCACACTTGGTGCTTCACAACTCTCTAACTCCAGCTCCGGGGACCTGAGTCCCTAGTGCACGAACATACACATAAATAAAAGTAAAATAATTTTTTAAAACATAAATTGTCAATTTAATAATGCTTCGAAATTATTTCCCAAGATGTCATTTCAAGTTCTCATTTGGGTTGATGTTAAATCTGGAAACAACAGATAAGCCATGGGCTCAGGGCTGAGGAGCGTTTGCTGCTCTTGCAGAGGACCTAGGTTTGGTTGCCAGTACCCACATGGTTAGCCTTCCAATCTGAAAGTCTAAGAACTATAAGGAGAGGGTCAGGGGCAGAGGTTTTTGGACAGAAGGCTGTGGGGGCAATGTGAAGGGAAATGGTGGCACATCTAATGGACGGCTTTTGCCTGGAGACCCTTAAGTTCTGGCCTGCCGGAGTCCTCTGCCATCCATCCCACAGCCCAGGACCTCAGTGTGCACACAACCTAGGAAGGAGGTGGTCACATCCCACCACTGCCTGGAAAACTGAGCCCAGCACTCCCAGCTGCCTGCTTGTCCTCTGGACTCTTCTCTGTCCTCCTCTAGCCATGGCTGTGTCTCTCCGTTGTGAACCCTTTTTCATCTTCAGGATGCTGCCTGCTCAGATCTCCCCACTCTGTCCCTCAGGGTAGGCTGCAAAGCTGTCTTCCAACCCTTTCCCCCCCTTTGGAATGTACTTAAAGGGAGGTTTATCTTACTCAGCGAGGAGTAGAGATAGTGACCCTCCTTATCCTGCCTTCTTGTGAGTTTACAGAGCCCCATTCTTCTGGTAGGACAGGCAGAACTTTTTTTTTTTTTTTAAATCAAAAGTAGATCTAAATAAGGTAATTCTAACATAAATGACCTGAGAGTTTTAGGAGCCATAAGGAGCTCTGGAAGGGTGGTAGATGGCTGTTCAGTACTGTGAACAAATTCATGTCACGAAATCTTAGGTTACACACATTTTATGTTATTTTCTTTTCCCACCACAAAAAATACTTTTGAACTCATGCAATACAGATCTGAGCTGCCTGACCTTTTGTTTGTTTGTTTTTGTTTTTGATATTTGGCCTTACCTGGCAATAAATATTTTAATTTTGTTTGCTTTATTTTTATGATGACAAGTGAGTTTCAAGTTTTTTTTCCTTTTTTGTCTGCTATTTAAATACAAAGCTAAGACACAAACAGGTACAACCAAGACATTTTTATCTCACAGTTACACCTTTCTGTTGGTTCCTCCTCTGAGTCTGGCCGCTGACCAGGCTAACAAGGGGTGTGGGGAAGACTTCCTTAGGTAGCACCCTCATGAGGCTGGGGGATGGGAAAGGTTTGGGGGACAAGAGTAGGTTCTCATACCTGGCTCCTGAGCCCCAGCCCCTGGTGAATGTTGAGAACTAGTCCTATCAGGGACAAGGAAGCTACCTACTCTTGCTACCACGGGTCAGAACTTAAGAATCATCCGGGTTCACATGCCTGCTAAGCACATGTGTTCCCCTAGTGCCAAACACATCTGATGCCTGCTGCTGGCAGGGGTCCTAGACTGGCAGCATCTTCATGGGGTACCAGGGGTTCTGCCTTGACAGCAGGTGGAGAACATTGCACACAGCAGAATTGGGGTTGTTGTTGTTGGGGTATGCGCTTAGTAATTTCCCACTACAAAACCTCACCTCAAAGCATCAGGATCGGCAGTCAGACAAGACGCGGGCCGGGGAAAGCACTGTTGTCCTGCCCTGTCCTGTCCTGCAGGTCTCCTGAAACTGCATTAATTCTTTATAGAAATGTGAACACTGAATTCATTTAAAAAAAAAATTAAAAGCAAAACATTAAAAAAAAAAAAAGAAAAAAAAACAACAGAAAACAGCTTATATGTATATAGGTTTTGAAGGGAGTGAAATGAATACGTTTTTCTTTTTCTTCTGGGGTTCTTTTATTTTTTTCTTTTTAGCTTAGCTGACTGGTTTGTGTAGAGGTTTGAGATGGTACCCTAGCTTAGTCTTCTGTGCTTGGCCTTATGGGCCAGAAAATTGCCTCTTTGCCTGTTTGAAGGTAACAGACTATCTCAGTATCTGCCAAGATCCAGGCTCAGATCTGGAGCAGTGAAGCTTGGCAGCTTCTCCAGACACCACTAAGGTGTCACATGCCATGCTCGGCTCATTTCATACATCCCACAGACTTTCCTCGCATCCCACTTCTCTTCCTTCCTTCCTTCCTTCCTTCCTTCCTTCCTTCCTTCCTTCCTTCCTTCCTTCCTTCCTTTCTCTTTCTTTCTTTCTTTCTTTCTTTCTTTCTTTCTTTCTTTCTTTCT